TACTCTATTTCCTGCACTCACTCGTAGTTCATTATCGTTATATCATTATCATATCTCCCTTTCCTGCTAAATAAACAATCGAAATATACAAACTCATCTTCCTTTCAACTAACTCTCTTCTATTATTATTTCACATATCGCTTTACTTTCTTCTCTCAAAGACAGTAACTTTCGTCTTATTTGCGTTCACTTTCATTCTCTTTTCTTTTAACGTCCTGTTTATTAATGTAACGATCATTTGTAACTCGGCCGCCGACGATTCAAATATAACTTGATCATCGGCGTACAAAAGGCATTTGATGGTTGGTTACGCGGAAACGTTTCGTGTACTTTAATTTTATTCGAGGGTATATCGCCAAGTGTTATCCATCTTTTGACCTAATATCCTTTCCGTATACACACCTAGAGGGGAAAGAGGAGAGGCTAGTAAGTGACGCGATTCTTTCGACCAATGAGAAGCGCACCCGAACAGGGACGCTTGGTGCGAAAAGCCGAGACAATATAAGCTCGCGCACGGCCCTCGTGCGGCCTCTTCCTTCGCACGACTGGCCTGGATCACATCTCTGGGGCGCCCCAGAAGAAGCCACCTCACGTCGCATCACCGCAACGGAAGCGCCTCAGCCGCATCGAAGTCACACCCCGGCAAGTGTGTTTTTTTCTGCAATTCAGTCAGCATTTGTTTGTTAGTTAACCCGCCCCATTTCATTTTCCCTAACGTGCTCAAGTAGGTTTCCTTCATAAACTTGGCAAGCAATAGATTGCTGAAGAGCGAGTGCATTATCAAGGAACCGCGTGCCACATCCGCCATCTTGTTGAGGCCTAAGAAGCTTCCCGCGTATACAGTCCATTTAAAATAACGTCTCGCGTAATAGGGTCAAGGCTCGACCGGGGAATCGAACTCGAGAACCCCAAGACCCGCCGCCCAAACAATGGTTACCTTACCTATACTTAACCCACATCTTTCAGATTTCAAAATTCCAAACAACTGTCCATAAATAGGATGAACAGCAATGGTGAAGCCATACAGACCTGTGTAACACCTTTATGGATGCCAAACCAGTCTGAGTAGCCCCCGTTGATCCTAACATAAGCACTGGAGTCTCTAAAAGAGACTTCAGTGCCATTATCAACCCAGCGCTGTTTTAAATAATATTGTTTTTAATGAAATATACTTAAATAAAATTATTTACCTCCTGTACTACGATTGTGTCCGAAAATATAATTGTTTTAACATTTCAATATTCCTTGATTCTTAAGCAAGTTCATGCCTATGAGTACGACAGCTAGAAGCAGCGATTGATTTATAGTATGAGCAATGAACAATATTGTTGCGTACGTAAATTTTTAAGAACACAGCCGCAGGAGTCGAGCATGAGTCAGTGATGTGACACTACTATTTTGTATCAATAATTTATTATGTTTGGATTATCTCGATTTACCAAAATGGGAATGAAATGTGATTTTTCGTTAAATATTTATTTACACCTTCTCTATTATTTTTTTTAAATATTTTATATTGTTAACCGTTTATCAGTGATTATCTGATTCTTTGTACTTATAAATTACTCGATAAATTTTTATTCAGTTATATTGTCAGGATAAGTAATTATATTGAAAGGATAGTAGACTAAATTCGATCTGTAAGAAGCCGGGTAACTAAAAAGTATCAAACAACAGAAAATCATTTCCAGATCTTTAAAACTAATAAAAATGATAAATATGTCACTCATAAATATATTTATTTGTTTGTTGTTCATATATTGTTGTATTCATTTTATTCATACACCTGTTTATTTAATACAATTTTTAATACAAGTTTTCAAAAGATCCAGATATTAAACATAAATGAATATATTTATTTTAACGTATTACTACACTCCCCTTTTCTCTAATTATAACACGATTAAAAGCTAAAGCTAAGTCTAAAAGCGTCTATTACTGAAACACTTTCAGTTAATTATTTATATCTTGGTTTGAGACTCCCGGACGATCAACGACGATTAATAGAAAGTTATCGAAACCAGGGTTGCGCGCAATGTCATTCTCTGTTTTCCACACACTTCAATTATTACTGGACCGAGTTACTAAGCCTCCAGAGATTTTGCGGTTTTAAAAAATATTCCTTAACGTAATAGTTTATAGATTAATCTTTGTTGCATGATAGCTAGAGATATGTGTAGGCATAAATGCCGACCTAATTAGTGCATGCCCACAAAGTATGACATTGATAGGTACTGTCTGTACTACTAAGAAATTCAGGACTTCTTAGGCGTGATTTTTACTGATAGCTTTCGCAGAGATCAAGCTATATTTTATGAACTATAGTCAATACCGGTGCCAATTCAAGTCTATTTTTTCTTAGTGCAACATTTATGCTGGCGATTTATTGTTATTTTAAACAATTGTTAGTGCCCTTAACAAATCAAATAATTTTCTATATAAACGTTAATTTTGTGCAATAAGTTTTACTACATTACACCATCCCTCTATATTTTTCTTAATTTATTTATAGCTTAATACATAATTATAGGTAAAATATCGTCCCCGTATTTGGAAAATTAAATAACTCTGATTTTGTAGTTCTGAGATAAACGCGATTTAGTGGTTTTTTTTTTTCAGTTAATGTACATTTGTTAAAAAATGTGAGACAATATTACTGTCGGTAATTTGATATTTTGTGGACCTGATTACCTTTTACATTATGCTTTAACAAACTGAACTCAATCTTTAACTATAACTAAATAACACATAAAAAATCAAGCTGTTTAATTTTGCCACAACTGTTATTTATAACGTACTACAATTATCTACTTATTTCGGCTATTTATTTAGTTTTCCTACAAACTAAATACATTTGGTAGAGTAAAATTTGGTGAAATAAATGCATTTATTGAATTTATCAAACTCGAAATATTTTGAAATGTAAAATTTAGTGGCTTTGTACGTTATTATTACTTCGATATTTTTTAACTACATATTATTGGTCTCATTTAAAATAAAAGTTGTTTTATGATATTAATAAACTTATATTCAGGAAGAAATAGAAAAGTACAATAAAATTTAGAAAAATTGTATTGTAATCAGATACTTATCTTACCACAAACTTAAAATAAATAAACAAAATTACACCAATTATAACAAGTGGAAACAAATTAACCCAAAGTATTCTTTCAAATCAAAACGGAAAATAATTTGAACCCAAAAAATAACATTATGGCTCTAAAATCAGACCTAATTATAAAAGACGTACTTAAGTAGTAAGTAAAAAAACTATGAAAAACTTAAAATAGGTATCAATTAGAACTAAAAAACATAAGATTGTATCAAATCAAAACATAATTAAAACAGTACTATAATCCTATTCTGTGTTAAAACTCATAAAATTAAAATTGTTTGCACCTAAGCCATAGGTCAGTACTCAACTAAAAAATGAACACCAAAACAAAGGTACAGCAATCATTATAAAACTTTCAAACGACTCAATTCAACTAAAAATATTTCGTAATAAGGTAAGTAAAACACAACACTTAAATAAAACTCAAAACTCAAAAAATAATATGACACTAATCAGGTACATTGAGTACACCAATCAACAACTTATTCTAATATCAATTTACTTAGAACTAAAAATACTTTCATAACAAAATAAAACATAATTTAAATTCAAAACAATTGAAATGGCAGTACCTAATCAATACTTAAATGTAAACTTGTAAAAAAAGATATAAACACAGGTATCCATTCATTCAAACACAGCGTAAATCCCTTCAAAGTTAGAGTGAACAGGCTCCTTCTGGGTAAGCTCGCTCCATCGTAGACTTTGTCTCTGTCATCTCTGACCAATAGTCAAGAGCAAACACATCACAAAAAAAAGTATAATTTAAAATTAAATAACAAATGTATTAAAAAACATGAATCTAAAAATAAACATTAAGTTAATTTAACAATGTAAAAACCCTATTGTAAAATCATTTTACTCATGCTGTTAGGGTTTAAAAATTTAGTTTAGTTTTCAGCAATATGTAGAGCAAGGGGTCAAAATAAGCTTACTCATCGACTTCAGATGAATCAGTGGAGCGTGATGGACCCTGGTCTTCGTTTGAACATGGTAAACTTTCGTACCAGCCGTGAAGATCTTTAGGAATTATATTTTTCTTACAGAGCTGTAAAAGGTCTTTCTTTTTTGTTTTGTTATAGGAAGACATTGTTTATATGCCCGGGGAAGATCTTCAGTATTTATAGTTGGCATTTCAGAGTTTGGAGTTCTCCTAGTCGGTCTCCCTGGTTTACAAAGAGTATTTAGTAAGTTATGTGGCCCATCGTAATCGTATCTGTATTTAATAAAACCAGGTAATTCTTTTTCAAATCTAAGACATTTTATTTTCAACCAGCACACTTTCTCCCCATTCTCCGCTATAGTTTTGTTTTTAATTATTTTCGAAGCAAGTGCTTTTACATCAATCATGTCTTGATATGATAATTCAGTTACATTATATGGAGTTACATTTTTATTTTGTCTTTTTGATCTTGCCCGTAGCATAATTCCCTTCCAATCTATTTTAGAATACGTGTCTGTGTACATTTTTTCTTTTTCTATGGCACTATGCATTGAATCTACTTCCATAAAACTATGACCACTTTCTAGATACTTCTGTTCTAATACTTTGATTGTCTCATGCGTATGTACTAAGTATAATAAAAATGCTGCTATATACTGATTTCGGTTTTGTCCCGAGCACGTGTCGGAATAAATGGTGACATGCGTTAAAACCTCGAGGAGGTTCTTAATCCATAAATGAATAACAGATGCTATTTCAACACTGCCTCTTTTGCCGTTTATTTCCGTCCAGATCATACAGTGAGCGTCGTTCTGTGGAGGTTTAAACTCATAAATAGATAAATTATATAAATTTAATTTTCTGGAATAATACATTAGACTATCTGCAGTCGATGGAATCTGCAGTAGACTTTGCAAGTCCATAGTGACACACAAATATGATTCATCTTCTCCCGACTTCTTTTTTATCCAGCTCTTTAGATCTATAAGATGCCTCTTTTCGCTCTATATGTTGAGTATACTCATTTTGAATATTTGTATTAGTTTTATCTTTTTTGTAATTGCTACAAATGCTACATTGATCCTTCTTGGGGTGATAGAACGCTAAATTGTATTCTGTACCAAACACTTTCTTATAAATGTTTAATTTTACTGGCACTTTATTGCTTTCTTTCATTTCCTGCACATACAAATCGTACGTTTTTGATATTGACAAGGTAGGTTCTAAGTATTTTGGTTGTTTTTTTTTTCTACAGTAATGGGAATCAATTACAGGAAAACTTTCAATATGATTTTTTACCTCTTGTATCTGTTCTCCAGGAGTTTTGTTTGCAGGCGCTTGTCTGCCACGATTATCCATTTTTGTAAATACACCATGATCATCCACATGTTTTACTGCAGTTTCGATTGGACCAGTAGAAATGCAAAGAGTGGACATAAAATAGTTCTTGCATACTCGTTCAAATACAATCTTATTTTTATAGAAACCATATTCTCTGCTAGAACTTTTTTGTTTTTCGATCGGTACAGATTTTCTTGTAGTCTGCAGTGGCTTAATGATGATGCGCTTAAGCAAAAACTCTTTTTTCAGCTTAAAATCTTGTATAGACCAATAGGATTTGCTAATTTTCTCACGCTCGTTTTGTGTAAACTTTTCTGTGCATTTCTGGCGACAATTTTAGGTAGTTTAGCTGCAAGAAACTTTCCAGTTTTACTCTTATATGGCAAACATTTTCGTTTCTTCTCCAACTCTTTATTTCTTTTCCAGTTTGTTTGATTAGTATTTTTCCATCTGCAGATTTCTTTTTCCTTATTTCCTGTTCCTTTTTCTGATTCTGTTGTCTCAGCGATTGTGATATTGTGTTCCATGATCCTTCTATCACGGTTAACTGGTGAGACTTGGTCAATAGGAGTTTCAATAATAGCGCGAGTTGTTATAATATTACCTGTTTCATCTTCAGAGTCACTCTACAAAATGGGGTTTATTCGTTCAAATCTCTTAACTCTTTTTTTCTTCTTAGCCACTGAAATATTGATGTTTATTAAAGAACTACTTTTCCTTTTTTATTTTATTTTCTTCTTCTGTGTCCGGAATCCATGAAGATCCAGAATCAGAAAAAGGTTCTTCATCTGTCGAAGGTGGTATTGGTTCGATACCTGAAATTAGACTTGACCCTCTGATAGGCTTATAGTTGTATAATATTATATTTTCATCTTCATTTAAATTAATTTTACTGCTACACAAAAACATGGGACTGACATTTATAGGCATAGGTGCTGATTGGGGTTGGTTAATGTTATTAGTAATCATTTCGCTAGCCATTATTGATGCTGGAGCCGATTCGCATGTAATTATCTTAAATCCGTCATGCTCAGGAAGCTTAGGAACATCAGTAACCAACAGCGCATCGGGCATTTTTTCTATCGTAATATCAACAGCAAAATTTATGTCGTCGCAAACATTTTTGTTCATTTCGGATGGTAATTTCTGGCATGTTATAACATTATGTTTTTGTGGGCTGACAATAATGGTACTTTGGTCCTGTTGTTTGATTGTCTTATTTTTGTCCTAAAACAATAAGAAGCAATAATATAGTAGGTATTTAATTAGGAAACAAGTAAAATAATAATCATGTGACAAGAGTTTATGCAGTCAAATTTGTCAAGTCAAGTCAAGGCACACGTTTGGTCATCAAGCTTAATAAGCCTCGGAATTCGCCAACTTTGATACGGTTAGATACATTAGGTATCTAGGTTGGTTAGGTCACTTAGGTAATAATGTCAGCCATACAACAAGAGTTAGGTACTTAAAACGGGACCACTCCTAAGAACTATCTGAGTACCTAGTAAACAAAACCGCCTAGTAAACAAAACAAAAAAATCTATTTGTTAACTAAAAACAATTTTTTTTGCTATAGGTACATTTTTATGGGGTGGTAAAATCATCAAATGAGTCCTGCCGCCCTGGGCGGGGCAGGAGGGACTGTCAGACTTGTCAGATTTAAACGTAGGTACCCTACGTAGTTTCACTCTTAAAAGAATATTTAACGAAAATACCCAACAAAAACAATTTGTGTGACAAGCTAAAAGTAACCTTAATTCTTCAACTTAAGAGTCAAAATTCCAATGAAAGCAGAAGAGTTATCAACTTCTCCCACAACTCAAAATGATTGATATTCAAACTCGCATAAGGGAGGAAAAAATAAATAAAATAAATATCAGTACATAGTTATGACATAATTATTAATTAATGTTGTTCAAACGTTCTTACGGTTAAGAAAGACGTACTTAATCGTATTATTTCTAATTTCTTAATTTAATTTGCAAAAAAATTGTTCTAAATTATCGTAGGTACATACCACAGCTGAATCTTCTTTCTTTTGACACATTTTCACCATAAATCTACCTCGCGAATCCATTATTGGTCACTCTGACGTTACCGCAATTGAAGGTCACGTATTAGACTAAAACACACGACACGCGAGCGATGCATCAAACCGCACCCGCTCACTCCCGCGCTCTCCGTCGTCGTTGCCGATCAGAATATCTCGCGCCAAATTCTCTTAAAAATTTAATGATGACTTTCCTCAGGTGCATTTTGTTTTATGGCAATTATAAACAACTTAATTTATTTAATTTTATTTGCCTAGTATCTTACAATTAATCATTATCTAGTTGTGGAAGAAATAGATAACATCAAGTATTTATAAATTAAGTACGTTATATCAGAATTTTGAATAGCAGAATTAAATAAATAGAGTTATTTAGTTTTCCTAGAACTTAGTTTTGTGAATGAATTTTGAAGTTGAGGAAAAATTCAACAACTCATGTTATTTAATTTATTTGACATTCAACTTATCATTGACCACAGTTATTGACTTATTTACTGAGTTATTTATTTTTCCTTTAAAAAAAATAGTGTTTGTCTGAAGATATTTATTATTCCATCTGTCCGACAAAAATTGCTATATTTTTGGAACGGAATAAGATACGAAAACGCCTGTAAGGCTCAAATATGCGGCATGTTTTAAGTGTTTTGAAAATAGGGAAAAGTCAATATCGCCAAAATTGGACTTATTTAATTTTCCAACTACGGGGACGATATAAATCACAAAGGTTTTTAAATATCTAACTAAGAGTAATACTCGCATATATACCTCAGATAACTTCTTTAATACTTAATTCTACTTAAACTAGATCAATTCAAAGGAGACTTTACTCATTATCACAAAATGAAATGTCTAAGAACCGTAACCTTTTTAATCGTTGAATATGCGACAAATGTAAACTACACTTCATTTTATTTATACGACCACATAATCTCTATGTTCAACACAGAAATCTAAATAATAATGCTCTTGTAATGCCTTCTACCGTCTTTTAATATCAGGACGCGCGTTGCCGATTGGAAGCTATCAAACATAGACAAACAATAAATACACAATTATGCCTACACATATCTCTAGCTTTCATGCAACAAAGATTAATCCTATACCTTTTATATTATATATATTATATATATATATATATATATATATATATATATATATATATATATATATATATATATAATCGGAATCTCGGAAACGGCTCCAACGATTTTCATAAAATTTTGTGTGCAGGGAGTTTCGAGGGCAATAAATCGATCTAGCTAGAATTTATTTTTAGAAAATGTCTTTTTGTCCGTGTTTTTAGGCAATGAAAAACTGCTACAATATCGTTGGAATAAGAAGGCAAATTTTGACATTTGTTAATGATTACAAATAGCTTAATTGGTATACTGGGCGGTCATAAAATCGTTAATACCATGGTTCGAGCCCAGACCGACCGACCGACTTTTTTTAATTTTTTTTCAAGTGTCTTTCTTTTTTGAGAAAATCTATTTTTTCGTGCCCTTTTTTTAGTATTTTTTAAAAACACGAAAATTTAAATTAAACTAATTGCACTCATGATTTTTTATTCAAATAACCAGTTCAGTTTTTTTCTATTATGTCGCTACGATCAAAAAATATTATTCGTATTTCATCAGTATGTAATTTGTATCTAAATATAATTTCCAAAACACACGAATTAAAAAAAACCGAGCGAAAAATACCGAGCAAAGCTCGGTCAACCGGGTACTCTATAAACTATGCACTAATTAGGTCGGCATGCCCATAAAGTATGACATTGACAGGTACTGTCTGCACTACTAAGAAATTCAGGGCTTCATAGGCGTGATTTTTAATGACAGCTGTCGCAGAGATCAAGCTATCTTTTATAAACTATAGATAGTAATTAATGTACTCAGTTACGAAAAATAAGATGATAGTAACCAGAAAAGCTTACTTATTCTAATGTTTCACAGTGCTTTGTGGTTTCATTATAATGAAGAGCTTTTATGGCTCATTCATTCCTCAGAATTGTAACATGAATATTATCGTGGGAGTAAATTTTACTAATTTTACTTCCCATAAACCTTCAAAATTCAATTTATTATAAAGTTATATTTAAAGATGGCATTTTAATATTTGTACGCAAAATTTGAAAATGCGACTCTATTTAATTTAAAAATCTTTATAAAAAGAATTTTTTTGCCATTGCTCATTCATCGCCATTGCTCGAGGCTGGCAAGATTGGTTTCAACCAAATCAGGGCTACCAGCCTCTCAGCACATCTTTTCACCGAGTCCAACGCTGCAGCCGAAGCCTCGCTTCAATTTAATTCTTATAAGCCATTAATAATGTTCTAATTCAGAATGTTTATACAAACAATACAAACTGGTTTATATTTTAGTCGGGGTAATTTTTTCATAGTTTCCACTAATAATTCACATGCGCAGACCTGAACCTCTATACTTTTACAATTAAAAATCTACATTGATTACTATTTAAACAATATTTTTTAGAACTAGAGTGACAAACAAGCACACAGTCTACCCGATGTTAAGTAGATGCTGTATCTCATAGACATCTAAATAAAAAGTTACAGACTATAAACTTTTCACTGCTGTACACAGTTTCTTTATGAGGGTTTTAGGACAAGCAAATGTCCGCAATGCCGTCCCAATGCTTGTTGGTGAACTTCACATGTCTTCGAAGTATTTTTTTTCTTATTTCTCTGACATGAAGATTTTCACGATTCTCACGATTTTAATCATTGCCTAGCACGTGTTAAATCAGCACATAAAATAGCAATTAAAAATTTTGTTGGTGCTGGCGGGAATTAACCTGGGTTGATTGCGTACGTAAATTTACAGCGATCGCTTAGCCCCCGAGCTACCAAGGCTTATAGACATCCAAATATCCTCGATCTATTAGATTAGATCGATCGATCTATTATATTCAGATGCGTTGTCACCCCTGAGAACTAAGATAGAAACCTTTGTTATGGTATCTCCGGTTCTCTGCACTTACCATAAGAAAAACAGGAGCATTATTTTTCTATTTTACTGTGGTTATTCTTTGAGAACGTGGTCCTTCTTCACTGAAAAATTTGTGCTGCAGTCATAATAAAGCCACAGTGTGACCCTTCCACTTTAATAAAATATAATAAAACAGTAGGAACAATTTGGCGGAAAAGTTACGACCAAAACTTACTTTTAAAGAGCTGAGGGGTTGAATGCCATAAATTAATGAGTAACCAATCATTTTTAACGTTTTCTGTCTGTCTGTCCGGGCTAATCTTTGGAATAGCTAAACCGATTGTAATGGCACTTCACGAACAGACAATACCAGGAGTGGTCTAGGTTATGTTTGATCCAAAAACTTTTTTAATATTGAAAAATTTGAAAAATAAATGGTTTATGTCTAAATTACGCTACATTCATATTTTTTAACGAGGCGAAGCGGGGGCGGGTCACTATATAGTTATTAATAAAATTAAATCGAAACCCAAGCAAATTTATAATATGTATTGATAGTGTTTTGGTGATATCGTCTAATAATTATATTTACAATTCAAATCTGAAACTCTGAAACCACTCTTTTCGTAACAAGTAAACAATTTTAATTCAAGAAATTCTGGAACGGAAGGAATTCCTAAAAATTGTTGATAAGTTAATGAAATGATTTACATAGGTACACGATGTTTGAAAATTTTATTATTTAGAAATATATTAGCAAACTTAGTATTATCTTGTAATTTATTTTAATTTGGTATAAACAGTAAGTTGATATTGTCTTTATATTTCTTTAAACTTAAGTAGCAAGTGGACAGTCCACCTGATAAAAAGTGGCTACTGTAGCCCATGGTCCTGTTGCGAACTTCATATAAAAAGCCTACAGATGCGTTAGCGTTTTCGTTTACTTACTTTAAAATATATGATAATAATGTAACATTAAAAGAACTCAATAATATTAAAAATTATTTTAGAATATATTCTCGATATCTTTATATGTTCTAATATAATACCTTCATATCCTTCTTAGAATATTAGGTGGCTGTTGCCCAGCAGTGATATGTACTTTTGAATGACAAAATCCGTTAAATTATGTCTTAGTTTATTCTATGCTTTTATCACTACACCTGGAGACAAATATACGTAGGTATATATTATTATTTGCTAGTCTTTAAAATGAGTTTGGTTTAATAGATTCTGACGCTTGAAGATTATTACACGACCACGGTAAAAGGGTATTTTGCTAATCAGCGAGATGACCTCATTAAAGGACCATTAACGATCACGCCGCATTTCAATTTTGATATTTGTAGATACACGAATAATTATAAGAAGTATTACCAAATTAAAAAAAAAAACAATAATTTAACGGATATAACTCGCCGAAACAATAGTGCTGGTTATCAATGGGCCAGTTTTGGTTATTGTTAATACTTCGCGAGGTGTAAGAGCGTCTGCGATATTTGGCAGATCCCTACCAACAAATGATAAAGTTGTGGAGAATTTTGTAATTAGACCATTCCTATTATCTGTTGAATACCTCTTATATTGTGACAGAAATTGTAGGGGTTTAAATGGTAGAAATCTGATGTTTAAAATATAAGTCAGACTTTCATAAAAATATATATAATGCTTTCTGGAATTTGTAACTCAATCCACAATATTTATCCAGACTTCACATCTTACTTTTATACTATTAGAGGTCATTATTTACTCTTATGGAATAACGAATAAAAATATGATCATCTAATAAGAATTTTATGCTCGGAGTCATGTTACATTTTATTTATGCGAATTTATAAGGGTTGAAAGCACAAACGTATGTACTAAAGGGGCGTCTCTTATTCAAAGTTAACGTCAAAGTTAGCAGCAATAAAGATAACAGATTTATAAATCAAACTAAAAACACAGCTCTGAGGATTATGGATGCTGCAAAGTAAAAGAATAATTTAATTATGTTTTATTTAAAAATAAATACGAAAAATTTCTAAAATTTGTTGATTTGTATTGTTCGATTTAATATAACAAAAATATATAAAT